GTATACTTTGTGCCCTAAAATTGCTTATTATTGGCACAGGTGTAGACTTATTTTGAAATGTCCTATAAGTTAAGTCTTTTAACTTTTCTATTTGATTTATTCAAAGTTTTTAAGTTTGATTCTTTAAAAGAACACACAACTACACCTTTAATATTAAAGACATATCCACTCTTGGATTTGAAATCTTTAAAATCCCATATCCAAATTACATCACTGTTACATCTCCAATTTAGTTAGATACCTCGATCTATGTAATATTGGATTTAGAATGTATCTCAACTACCCAATTTATTGTTTTTCAGTGATCCGATCCTGAATTGAAAATGTGCAATTAAACACAGTTATTAAGATGTCTTGCAAACTCAACCAATTATATACTTTGATAAGTATTTATATTTGAGATTTACATCCACAAAAATTAGCTAGGCTTTTGTTATCATAACTAGTATTATCTCAATCTCACTCTATTGAGAATATACTATGTTATCAGATGTTAAATCTTTCATATCAAATATACTAATTAGTATATCATTAATTTTTTTAAGGCATACAATGACTTATACATCAGATTTATGTTATTGTCTTCGTACCAACTTTAATCCACTCAAGAACTTATAAGCTTGCACACTTTACTCTTCAACTAGAACAAATAACTCACCTCTTCAGCAGTAAAAAGAACTCTTTTAGTTGTTCCATAATATTTTCCTCGTAGGAAACAACATGCACTATTGTTATAATACTATAAATGATTTTTGGTTCTATCCAAAATCTCTTAAGATTAAGAACCCTACATTTATAAGTATTTCTTATCTGGTAAGGTAACTCATAGCAAATTTCATTTATGGACAATATCCCCCCATAACTTTGGAATAATCCTGAAATTTTATATATGGTACATTTCTTATGAATATTCAACTCTTAAAATACCATATATTAAATATTTCACATCATTTACCTTTTCAAGGTTCTATATTTGCTTCTTAATAAATATGTATAACAGTCTCTAGTGCATATGTATTCACTTTATCTCTAGCTTGCTCTTATAATATGTCACTGACGTTACTGTGAATTGATGCTAGAGATATTAATTACAATGGGCTTTAATTAATATTTGCTTCTACATCTCTTGTATTTATGAATTGAGTTATTCATGTTTAAGTTCATGTTAAATCAGTCATATTAACATGTCATAACCTTTCATGTGTCACACATCACATAACTCAACCATTTAAGCAAATAATTATCTTATTATTTAAGCTTTGGATACAATCACCACAGAGTATGCACTCACTTCTCAGCTATCAGTATCATTACTAGTTAAAAGTGAGTTCTTAGCTATCATTACTAGCTTAGATTAAGTACATTTTTCTCATATCTTACTACTAGGTTATGATGAGTACCCACTTTTCAGCTATTACTGCTAGCTTGAAGTTAAGTTTGTTTAGTTATCAATTCTAGTAGTTCATAACTTTAGTACACACTTATCTAAGTAGTCTACCTTACTAGTTGAGTAATTTATTTTTAAGAATATTCTTCAAAAACTACTACTTTACAAATAGTATTATTCCCTCCTACATGAGCAGATATGATGTATAGCTCAAATAGCTTATGGCTAAAATGGCTACTTATCACCCTCATGTTTTGTACTATCAAGTTGAGAGCTAAAACCAACTAACAGTGTTTCATCTTCCTCTTAGGTTCTGTACACCTCATTAATCATTTTAGCTTATAGCTAAGTTAACTAGTTTGCAACTCAGTAACATTTTAACTTTTAGCTAAATTGTACATTAGAGTTAACTAGCTTGATTTAGCTTGTCTCGGTGTACTTGCTTAGTGTATTCATAATATTTTCCATTAAGCTCTTTCGAGTTATTGGAAAATCTTCTCTTATTTAGCCCATTTAAAGCTATACGTGTCTTAAACATTAGTATAGATCTTTTTCCTTTGACTATTAGGAGAATTGACATAATTGGATTAGTCAATTTTTGTTTGTTGTATTACATATACAAACCCGTCATGAATTCATACAAATTCAATAATATCACATATTAAATAAATTATGTTATAAATTTGACTTACAATGCACATTAAGTAATTTAACTACATAATTCAATATTACAGTATCAAATAAAAGTAAACATTTATAAAAATAATATTGAACTTGCATAATAATATAGTTTCATATTATATCACATGATTAATTATATCACATAATTAATTTAAGAAAAAAGATTTGTGGCTCATTCTCCAATAAACATGTTAGAAAACTAGGACCAAAAGATTTAGACATTCTAACCCTCTTGCTACGTCTAAGCTCATCCTTATTTTCATTGTATGCACAAGAAAATGATATGCAATACTGTTATGAGCATAACCTATCAAATGTTTTATGTAACGATTCACTCCTCCACTTGATATGATATTATCCGTTTTGGGTTCGAGCCCTCATGATTTTATTCTTACGTTTTATCCCAGAAAGCCTCATACCAATTGGAGATAATACTACCACATAAAAGCACTTCACATTTTTCTTCCCTAAGTGATATGGGACTGTACACCTGTAGTTCGCCCAGTGTAATAGCCTGTCGGTGCCTCTTGCACTCGCCCACGGCACACCCACCCACAAGGTTGTCACATTTTAGGTCATATTTTAACTTCTTAGGAGTAGGAACTGCAACCTTAGCTAGACACCCCCACACTTCTAAAAATTTATAGGAAGGTTTTCGACCTTTCCATAATTCATATGGTGTCACATTAGTTTAAGGTATTTTATTGAGAACATAATTTGTGGAAAGCAAAACTTCCCCCACAAATGCTGAGTTAAACCAGAATTTATTAATATAGCATTCATCATGATATTATGTTCTGAACAAATATTAGCACAAGTGTTTTGGTTTTTTTGCTAAGTTGATTCTCAACCTCATTTTTGTAATGTTTAAAACATTTATAAGGTTTTATATTTGCTTCATAGTAAATATATATAACAGTATCTTGTGCAATCATTGAAAAAACTAACGAAATACCCTTTTCTACCTCTAACTGATACAAATTTAAGATAATATAATATACTACATCATATTATAAAATTAAAATAATTCAACCAATATTGAATTATATAAATAATTCAATATTCTACTTATATAATATGCTTCAATTTCATATAATATTGAACACAACAATATTTAGCATATTATCATATAATAATGTATATAACATTATTTTATTATATCTTAATTATTAGTACAATCTCTACTTGTTTATATCTTAAATAGAAGCATATAATAAAATCTACGCAAGGAATGGATTTGTTTTAAGATTGTTGGAAAATATATACTTCATGTGACATTTAAGATATAACAAACCTTATATTAATACGTCATGAGATAATTAACAATATGTTAAGAAATCATTAATTAAATATGCAACTCTATATTTAATTAAATATGCAAAATAAAGCAATAAAATAACAATAATAAATAAAGAACCTGGACTGAGGCTAGTATTGAATACAATGTCCTTAAGACAGATTCGCCCCGCTATGGTACTAATGGACTCAATGGCGTCTATCTCCCAAGATACAACGGTCTACATCCACCAGTAACAGCAATACAAACTCGTGGATACGGTGAACCTCCTCCATGTAATACTCTCTCTGACTAAAAAATACATCTATACTATATAAATGTTGAATTGGGTGTAAATCGAACCAAATGATTCGGACCAATCTTAATATGGCTCAATGAAATTAAATTAGGGTCTAAGTGATTCGGACCACTTAACCTGTGGTTTGAACCCATTTGGGTTGGGTTCAAGTCTAGAGAAGAAGATAAAAAAATATGAAATGAACGATTTGCAAATGATCCAAATGGGAGTATTTATAGACAACAATGTGCTTTTTCGGATTGGATGTGTCTTTTCATCATTGGACACAATCATTTATATGTGTCTTTTTATCATTGGACACATCCCTCTAATTGGTTGCAATGGTTCACATAGTGTCTGTTCACTAATAAACACATCCACTCCAATAGGTTGTAATGGTTCACATAAATAGTTATATCTGTTGGTTTTGAATTGCAACTCTTTAGAAATAAATGCAACCCTTTGGAAAAAAACTGACTTTTAATTTAAATTCAAAAATCAACCATCAATTTAAATAAGCCCAGCCCAAAATTAAAGGCCCAATCCAAGATTCCATTTAGTAAAAAAAATAATTAGATTTTCCAATTAAGCCCAAGCCCAAGCCCAAATTTAACTTACTTAAATTTCAATTGATTTCAACATTTTTTTTCATGTGGGACAAACACTTCTCACATTTTACATACCCATTTAAGCTTATCAAAACACCACACTTTAGAACTAATTTCTCATTCACCCGGAAATGAATTTGAGAAAGTAAATATACCACGTTCATCTCCTTACGGAGAGAAACGCACTTGTTTATAGATCCGTAAAAAATTATTAGCGAAATCTATTCCAAATCTCATCCAAAGTTTATATTTTTAATGCCCCCGTTTCCAACATATACTTGAGCATTCCAGAACAGTCACACCAACCGACTAGTACTAAAAAAAGGAAAAACACTGGTTGTAAAGTAATCATAATAAAAGAATTACTATTAGGTCAATCCTTGCAGGCATTTTCATTCACACTTTGAGACCTCAGGGTCCTCGAGCACGAAAGCAGCTCCAGAAATTTCTTCTATTGAAGAACTTCAAAGTTCAATCCATCAGAACTCCAAAAGTGGCCATAACTATGGTTTTTAGCTTCATTATTACTAAAATCTGCATTATCGTGTACAGTTGCACAAGACAAAAGAGGCTTTAGGTTCAAGACTAGCTTAATTTCACCAACATTTTCAGCACAATCAGTGAAATCTTATAGAATACATTGCATCAAGCGGTGCATTAGCATCAAGCAAGGCATTCTTTAGACCAGGTTAATATCATTATAAAGCTCACATCTTAATAAATAAATCAATCATACTACAGAGATAAATGTAACAAGAACCAAAATAAGTAAAGCGAGACCATAGTTTTACATACATTACCTTCAATTCTTCAACCACCGAGCTTCTTGGCACATTGGGTTATTGCCAATATCTTCCATTTCATCCAAGCAGGATCCAAATTCATCAGATTGATCACCAAAAAAACCCAACAAAAAGAAAACAAACATCATGTAAATAACAATAGAGTCCAGTCATTGTAAAATTTAAATTGGGGAAAAATATAGGACCAGCATGTAATACACAAAGCTATAACTATAACAAGATTGTTGTGTCGTGTAATAGCAGTGGAATACTAAGCCCCAAACATTTTCACAACTGAAGAGAAAGGCATTTCAAACAAGATACAAACCTCAAAGTCACCAACTAATTCTCAGTGCGAAGTATCAACCCTTGCAAAGAGCATACTTCATCTTGAAACAGGACTGTCCGTGGGGCAATTGAGCCTTAGTAGTGTGTTGGGGGGAGAAAAACAAATAATTCTTTGCACATTCAGTTTCAAGGGAGTTTTATAGATTTTATAGATATTACACGTATTCTAGATCCGAGAATCATATAGAACATCACTCGTACATTTGAAGCAATACCAACATGTAACCGATTAATCAATGTGGTCAATTTCCGCAATCTTTGCACCACGTCGTACTCGTCTCAATAAACTCACCCTCCTCACACGAACACCTAAATGATCAACTTGTGTTTTCTTTCTTTTCCTTTCTTCCTTGGCAGAATTAATGCTTCCAACAGAAAATTTCATTTCCACAGCTTCAACTCTTTCACCACTCTCCTTCCCAATCTTATCATTCACTATCCATGATGGTTGCTTTGCATCAGAAAGGTGGCCCAGATAATAAAGAGGGTCAACATATGAAGGCGACGAAGAGACAATGCCTTTCATGTTGGTTGGTTGGACAAGTTTAACGAACTCCTGTATCTCAGCAAAGCATGCATGATCAGAATATGGAACTGAATATATGTATTCATGATATCTTTCCACAGTTCTCAAGTTTCTATCTGGCTTATTTATATCCTTGCAGGTCCCAACATTTGTGTTGAATTTGCTTCCGTTAATGCGAGAAATTGGAGGAGAAGAACCAAAGAGATTGTCATTTCCTTTGAGGAATTTTCCCGTGAATAGAAGACCAGATGGCATAATTCCTATGGTTGCACGCATTGTATTTAGTCCCTCTAGTGTGTCAATGCTAAAACTGTAACGAGGAACAGCCCGCACTCTTGTTAGCGAAGTTTTGGTCGTAAAGATGTCGCGGAACCCAAGCAGATGCATGATTTGCAAACGTTCTGGCCACACCCAAATCTGTAAATAATAAAATGAAACAATATTATGAATTATTGGTTTGATAGAGCATAAAAAGTATAAAGAATAAATTATTTACTCTTTTATCATGCCCAACATCTTGGTATAGGCAAAATATGAATCATCGGAATATCCTCTCTAAATGATTAAATCTAAGACTCAAAGTGGTATAGCAAAAAGATATTAGGGTACTAGTAAATATAATTTATTTTCTCAAATAATTTGCTTTATTGTCTCCAAATGTTCAAACAAACATATATGCATCAAAATTGGTGTCAACACTTCTGGTCTCTGCATTTAATTACATTAATAATATGACATGGAGGGTGCCTTTTTGCTGCATATGCAGTGTGAAGTTAAATTTAAGAGATAACTGTAACTCAAGTTCTTCTGAAAAGGTGTGAATGGACCTTTGTTTTTAGCACATGTGAAATGTAGAGTAAAAGATCTTCCTTGCCCAAAGTGTCTATCCCAATAATGACATCATGTTCAGGATGGGAGGCAATAATATCGACAACCTGTTATTATCCATCAAAAAAGAAGCCATTAAGTCATTAAGACTCAGAATTCTTGATATATTACAGAATATGTAATCTTGAAATATAGTTTGATAATGGGGAAAACCCAAGATCCAGATTATCTCTTCTAGGAATGAGTTTGTTGAACTTCAAGGCATGAGAAACCAGCTTAAATTTTTTAACCAATGTGGCATATTCGACAAAGATGTAATCTGACATGCTAATCATTTAACTAAAAAAATTCTCATCAACACAACATTCAAAATATAGAGATCTCAAGTGACGTCATGCCCATCTTTTAGATACATTTAACATTTTTTACCATGGTTTGATGGAATCTTGACAAGAAGTTTAACTCAATAAATTCCATCCCTCCCACCTATATACGTAACAATAAACTAATTGATATTCAAGAGAATCCAAACTAGTTACCCACTTCAAGTCCATATTGCCTCCACTCCCTACTTTAGCCTTCTCCTTTCCTAGAAATACTCCTCCATAGTTTCAAAGCTTTCCATTTGAAGTATACCCAAAAATTACCATGGCTTGCTTACACAACTAATCCATGGCTTTCTCCTTTCAGCTTTTGTTGAAATCGTTGCCTCTTTTCTTTCCTCTTGAAGAAAACTATTATATTCCTCGCCAAAATTGCTCAACTAATTCCCATTTTTGTGCTTACCAAAAAGCCTAAATTTTCAAATACTCCTAAATGGCCCTCAACATTGTCCTCTGCTTTCCATATATGCTTTTCGACCTCTATCCATCTAGCCCTCAAATGTATCATCATATGTGCTTTGCATTCAATAATGAAGTACAATATTTTTTTAATTGACCACTGATGAACAAAACAGTAACTTCAAAGTCCAACCTCACAAGTCCTTGTCCAGTTCACTATTACCCTTTCCTTTTCCCAAACTATAAAAGAACTTAACATTAGGAATTTCGCCACATTATCTTCCCTGACTTTACTAATCACAAAAGGTTATAATATAATTTGAATAAAAAGTGCTATATTTTGTGTAAGCTTCAGTGCTGCTAACATCAACAATATGTTATACTAAGCTGGTTAAGCGGCATTGATCCAAATACTGATAAAATTTTAGTTACTTGAAACAGGTAAGACACTGCAGTAATCCCAATGAACGACATAAAACTAAGGGAATCTATACAACTTTCTGCAAGAAAAGGAAACACGCACCTGCTGAGCAGCAACTTCTCGAGAAGGAAAAGAGTATGACGGATTACAATAAGTATTATCCAAGTAAACGATGTCTACTTTATCATTCCCAATAGCATTACCAAGCATGGCCCTAGCAATATGTGCCCTCTTACTTCTTGTTTCCCAACGAAAATCCCCAGTGTAAAGCATGCAGCCAAACTCACCACGAAACAAAAACATAACTGCGCCTGTCGGATGAAAAAAATATGAGCACCCAAACAAGTAAATTGTTAAAGCATTATGACGCAACATTACTTGTTGATAGATAAGTTCTATCCATGGTTAGATTGACAAAGTAAAGCAGCCATTTTTTTTTTTTTTTTTTTATAAGTAAAAATGTAAAAATGTATTAAAAAGTAAAGCAGCCACATTACAACTGAAAAATGATAATGTTTAGAAATAAGCAACAAACGCTGCATTTAAGTCATTGTTTTAATTACAATGCCCCTAGTGGACTTGGTTTTAACTGCGGAAAAGAACAAATTCTAGTACAGCTTCTATAAAGCAATACTTCGAACAAAAGGGAATGGGAGTCTAGCTACATATATCTAGTTAGCACCTAGATTAAATATGTGAGACCCATCATAAATCCATATTAGAGAAGCAGTGTGTGAGAATGTAGTAATAGATTTGCTAATGATGTAAGTTGCTACTACTGAGTTAACGAGATGGACAACCAAATCAACAGAGAAGGCACTTCAGAAATCTCCAGTATGACCACTATTTTTAACTTCTGTGGCATGTTATAGTCGAATTTCAATTTGTATTTACTAAGACGTTAGAAACAAATTGCTCAAGATGTTTCATACATGAACAAATGGACTAGTATTTTAATAAACAAAATTTCAGTTGCCTATATATGTCTCTCTCTTTTTATATATGTTTTGAAATTCAGTTGATAGCTTTCATAAGTTTTAGTATCTCTATAAAAAAATTGACATTGGCATATAAACTAGTAAATTGTACTTTGGGATCTGGAAAACATGACCTGATTTTGAATAAGCTAATTATAACTATAGTGTTATGCATACTGATAGGGAAAAATATAAACATACCCTACCCTCGATAAGATTGATTAGGATAATGAAATCAAATCTGACGTGATTCAACAAGTAAGAATAATCCTACTATAACTGGAGGAGGTCAAAAGGATTAAATCATATCCCCGACAAATCTGGCAATAAATCTCCTATGATTTCGTACAAGCGGAAGATAAGATCGACCATCGACATCGGCAAAACGATTTTGATTCCAATCGACAGCCATAAATAGGGCACCAAGCCATTAAGGAAGGGACGACGAAAAAACTATCAGCAGGCACCACACCGGTGCTGTCAAGGTTTATTGATATTCACCTCTTTACCTTGCAGGTAAACGGTGTCGTATCGGACCGTGCGGATTTCACCCTCAACAATTGGCGCCGTCTGTGGGAACGACGATTCCCTTGAATCAATTAATTACTCGTTGGGTATATACGTTTGCAGTCCGGTATGGTTACCGAAGGAACACCGTCGCAGGGATCTGGTCAAAGGGTAGAGTCGGGTGAAAACCTGGACGTCCCAAACGACCAGGCATGGCTTGCAGCGTTGGAACTGCAGGTTCAAACTCTGAGTCAGGGTATGAACCAGTTGATCCAGCAAAATGCAACACTCTTGCAACACCTTGTTCCACCGGTTCAACAAAACTTTCTAGGACAAGATCTCTCAAGTCCAAACGAAGGTAATGGGAATCTTGAATAAAAGGATAATCGTCCCCCCCAAAATGAGACTGAAGTGGAACAAAGCCAGGTGGGAACCCGACATAGAGAGGTGGTTCACCCATCTCTCCCACGGAGTTCCCGACCTCCTGAAAGCATAGCCTTCTGTCTTAAGGAAAAGACAAAGAAAGTTACCCATCTCGACTTGCAGATCAAGGATCTCAAGGGGAAAATGGAAGATGTAATGCAGGCTATGAAAGGGAAAGGTCCTGCCGTCGTAGATGACCTGGTACAAAGGACCAACCTGTAAAGTTTTTGACTTTATCTATATATATAATTAGTATAATGACTTTTTCAATTGTGGGGCCCACCTGTGATATAAGGGTCATTACAGACCCATTTAGTTTCCAATTTGCTTTCTCTCTCGGACAGCTTAAGTCTCTCTCTCTCGCTGCTTCTGTCTTTTTCTTTTCTTTTTTCTTTTTCAACTTCAATCCTTGATTTCTCTCTCAATTCTTGGCGGATTTAGGTGCCGTTTGAGGCAAAACGACGAGCACGACGAGCTCTACGTGCTAGTACCAGAAATTCTAGCTTTTGGTCCTCTTTGGGAGCTCGAATTTAAGAACCCATTTCTAGGGATTTTGCTCATTTTGAGGTAGGGACACCTTAATCCACTACCTTCTTGTTCCATTGTGAGTTATAATCATTTGTTGTGCCAAGCATGCTTAATTAGAAGTTAATTGTATCAATGATTATTTTAAATGAATGCTGTCTAGAGAAATTCATGTGTATGAATGTGAGTTGTTTTATGTGTAAAGCATGCTTAAATGTATTTTGTTGTATCTTAATGTGTTAATAATTACTTGGGAGATGTTGAACATGTTAAATGTTTAATTTTATGGAGTAGAATTTTAAATGCCATGGCATTGAATGTATGGAACATATATACATGCACATACCATTGGGTTTGCATGAAATGGGAGAAATTGTTCTTGAAATAAATATGGGGAATTTCAGGGAAGTGTTTTTAATGAAATGGTTTTATGCGAAACCCAGTCGCCGCGGGATTACCAACGGGCCGGAGGTTAATATAGCCTAGAGGGGACTAGGGAGTCGCCCTAGCGTGGTTGAGCTAGCTGGGCCCTATAATGACGCTGCGGGGTTACCAAGGGTCAGGGACACTAGCCAATCCTCCTCTCGTGTCGCGGCGGGGCTACCAAAGGGCGGGTTGTATTAACAGTTTGGAAACGATGTTTTGGATTATGAAAATGGGGAGCGACACTAGCATGCATTGCATCTCATACCATTGCATTGGATATACTTGAGATTGAATCGTTATGCTGTATTATTTCCCGACATTGTATGATCACCATTTCCCATTGGCCTATGCTTCGTTTGGATTCACGAGGACACAAGATGTGTGTCTTAAGTGTCATCTGCTGAGCTTTATGCTCACCCTACTATTTATATTATTTTTTTTCAGGTCTTGGAAATGAACTGGTGGACGACAATCCACATCAAGCTTGAAAGTTGTTAGAAGGTTGTTTGCTATTTTGTATTTTGACCGTTCTATGTATATTCGTAGTTATGGAAATGTAACTAAGTTAGTATTCATGGCTTTGTAACTTAAGAACGAACTTATCTTTTGTTTGATGTAAATGAAACTAGTGGAATTATGGTATATGTTTCCATGCAATTGTATCATGTAACGTTGTAAGACAGGGACTTTAAATATTAATCATGTATTTTGGGACTGTAATTATGATAATTTAGATTAATTGGTATGTGGATGTTCCACCATGAGAGGAACTATGTTGAGGTATAATGAACGGATGAATGGGATGCTGGATGATTTTATGTGTTTTGTGTATTGGGACAGGTTGTTGAAGGCCCATTTTTAGGGGAGGTTATGCCGAATTTTTTTAAATTTTGGCATCAACTAGGGTCGTTACACAACCTGCCTTTCAGCCCCGCCGTTATGAAATGTCCACTACCTAGCAAGTTCAGGATACCCTCGTTCGAAAGCTTCGATGGGACCAAAGATCCCCTCGATCACCTGGAAACTTTTCAAGCTCTTATGCATTTACACGCTGTGCCAGATGAAATCATGTGCCGAGCTTTTCCCACTACACTTAAGGAATCAGCGAAAGTTTGGTTCAACAAGTTGAAGCCAGGAACCATCAACACCTTCGAAGAATTGAGTAAGCAGTTTGTGAGCCACTTCATTGCAGGTCAGAGGCATAGGAGGTCGGCTACCTACCTGTTTACCGTGAAGCAACAAAAGGAAGAGTCGATTCGGGAATACATCACCCGATTCAACGCAGAGATGTTACAGGTAAAAGAGGCGAACGACAAGGTAGCTTTGACAGCTTTCATAGGAGGACTCCAAACCTCCAGATTCTTGTTCTCCTTATCAAAAGAACCTCCCACCAGTATGATAGAGTTGCTGGTCAGAGCGCAAAAACACATCAACGCTGAAGACACCATGAGTGCACGGAAGGAAGGAGAGGACAAGAAGAGGCCAGCCCCTCTCGCCAGGGATGAAAATAATACCAAATATAAGAAATCGTTCTTCAACCAGAGCGACAGCACATATCATGAGAATGACTTAAATGAGTATACCGACTAGAAATTGTCTCACGGCTGGAATTAGCCTTATCAAGTCATTCACAATAAAGACTGGGGGCATCTTAGTTAATCATTTTAAATGGAGGGTAGCTCTATCACGTGTTATTTTTAATAAGCCTTGAGGCAATGATGGTCTTTAATATAATTCCTTTTAGTTTATACGTGCAGTATCCCCGTACTTTAAGGAATAGTAAATGAGTGTCCTGTATTACAAGGACCCGGGCTGAGTGAATCCCGTAATCCGTATCCCCAACTATAAGGGAATAGTAAATGAGTGTCCTGTATTACAAGGACCCGGGCTGAATGAATCCTGTCATCCATATCCCGGACTATAGGGGATAAGTATCCTATATTATCAGGACCCGGGTTGAATGAATCCCGTAATCCATATCCCCGTAATATAAGGAATAATAAATGAATGTCCTGTACTACAAGGACCCAGGCTGAATGAATCCCGTAATTAATATCCCCTTACAATAAGGGATAGTAAATAAATATCTTTTATTAAAGAGGTGCGCTGAGTAAAACTCGTAAAGTTCAATTCCCTTACTAAAGGAACGAGGTGAATAAAACTCGTAAAGTTCAATTCTCTTATTAAGGAGCAAAACTTATACAATTTATTCCCTTATCAAATGAAGAGTACTATTCCCTCGGGTGCAAAAAAAAAAAAATCCTGAGTTACTATTTACATGAATAGTACCCGCGGGTACTGTTCACAGGGTTGAGAAAAAAAAAAAAAAAAAACCTGAGTTACTATTTATGTGAATAGTACCCGCGGGTACTGTTCACAGGGGTTAGAAAAAAAAAAAATTTATTATTATTATTATTTATTACATTTCCAAACTAGACGTGCAAGCTTGGGAATGGGGGGCAACTGATAGGAAAAAATATAAACATACCCTACCCTCAATAAGATTGATTAGGATAATGAAATCAAATCTGACGTGGTTCAATAGGTAAGAATAATCGTACTATAACTGGAGGAGGTCAAAAGAATTAAATCATATCCCCGACAAATCTGGCAATAAATCCTATGATTTCGTACAAGCGGAAGATAAGATCGACCATCGACATCGGCGAAACGATTTTGATTCCAATCGACAGCCATAAATAAGGCACCAAGCCATTAAAGAATGGACGACAAAAAAACTATTATTAAATCCCTGCCTTCCTTTTTAAACCTCTGGTGACTAACTTGATCGTCGGAGAGTTCTGGGAAGGCACCACACCGGTGCTGTCAAGGTTCATTGATTTTCTCCTCTTTACCTTGCAGGTAAACGGTGTCGTATCGGACCGTGCAGATTTCACCCTCAACACATACTATTAATGATATAAATAGTAACAAGATGAGTGATTACACTACATTATTTCATTTTTCAAATAAAATTTGAAATGCGGCATTACATATAATACCTAGCTAATTAACAAGCAAACTATCAATATAACTACAATGGATGAAAAATAGTAATAATGTATATGTGATGACAAATGGTCAAGCTTATAATTCTTGTGCTTGTCAATAAACTGTAATCCCAACTATGAACTCATAACAAATTTCTTATTATATATATATAATAAATTTGAAAAGTAATTCAATTCATTTAGAATCTAAAACGAACAATTGACGAGCAATTTACCAGGGCAATGATGAGCATCGATGGCAATGACTTGGACTATTGTCTCTGATCCAGAGGTGGGAGAAACCAAAGAGATGGAATGCCAAGAACCAATCTCCAAGACTCGAAGCAGCGAGAGTTTGAAATCGGGAAATTTGAAGGGGAAGAGCTTGGCTGTGATTCGAGAGCAGAACAGTGGGCCTCTTTTCCATCTCGAAGACAAGCCCTTGGTGTGATCGGCGTGGAGATGCGTCAGGAAATACACCTGACTGCCTTCGGACCACTGGTCCACTGATATCATACCTCTCTCCATTCTCAATTTCTCCCTAGAAATTCGAGTTCCAATTGGTGGTCTTTCATGGAGTGAGAGAGATTAGGTTTTCAGAATCTAGGGTTTGAAACAAGAGCTGAGAGACAAAATGAAGAAAATGGGGAATGTACTGGCTTCGTTTGGCGGGGATTTGTGTTTTGAATTTCGAAGGCGCTGGATTTATGTAGTGTTCCACTCCTGAATAAGGAGAAGATATCCGCCTGTTAGGTTTTTTTCTTTTTTCTTTTTTCTTTTTTCCTTTTTCTTTTTTCTTTTTTCCCATACATACATACATTTATATATATATACACTCAAAAATTTTGAGTGTGGAACACTAATATGGCGCAGAGATAATATATATATAGCATAGAGGTTTTCATCTCGTGCACTTAGATAGTATGCGCCAATGAAGGTAAATTTACCTATATGATCTTAATGCATATAACCATTATTTAAAAGAAAATTTTGGAAGGAATTGGGTGAGGGTGACTTACTGTTTTATCCCTCCTCTTATATTCCCCTCATTTTTTATGGTATATTTGTCATTTTAGGTTTCAATAAATCATATTTACCCTAGATCATGTTTATTTATCACATTTCGATTGATCATTCTAAGGTTTACCTCTAATATTCGAAGCAATTTGTATCTTAAATGTTTTGTTTACTGTTTATAAATCGCTATTTTAGGGGGATTTTTTAATTTTATTTATACTTGTAGTTTGTGTTTTTTTATTTTTTTTTTATCACTATTTTATGGAGATAATATTGGTTTTTTTTATTTTGTGTTTTTCCTATTTGTCATGATTGTAAATATATCATTTTTGTTTTTTGTTCAGATCCGAGTAGGGTTACTTTAAATTTTTTTTTTTTATTATTACAATTGAAATGTAATATTGATGTTATGCTACATAGGGTTTTGCAACAATTTATTTTTATTTTTTTTATAATGCTCAAGTGAAAAATTCAATATAAAAGGATACTTTGAAAAGAAATAATAATATAGTGAGAGAGCCCTAACTGCTACTAAAAGAAATAATAATTAATTTTGAAAAATGAGTCATGTAATCTATTGTGATCCATTAGTAGACACGTACTTTTGCCATTTTGAAATGATGTAATTTTAATTCAATTAATAGACAATTTGGTCTTCTCACAGTAGCAAGGTTATTTTTGTCCAAAAATATAGTTACCATATATTGATTTGATACACTAATGAATAATGTAACGTGTTAGGTCAATGAAACAACAATAGTGGGTTGATCAATATGTGGTGCATACTTCTATCTAGATGCACGAGATAAAAATCTCCTAACTATTATTTGTAATTTGCCTATATATATATATATATATATATATATGTATATATATACTAATATATCATCCACTTTATATATATAAAAACTGCCAATGGTTTTTTCTTTTTTTTTTACATAAATAATTCCTACTCATGTTTTCCTCAACTATTAACAAATCTTGGTTTTCGATTTGCTTAATGATTATTCGTCTTAAATTAGGAATCACTTTACTAAAGATTAAAAAAATAAATAAAATTCAAAGTGAAGCTTAAAGAAATAATGGTCAATAAGAAGCATTGCTTTAATTATTAGGTCATTTGTAAAATAATGCTATTTAGACTTAATTGAGGGAAGGTTCACAAGTAGAAAATATTGGAGGAATTTTTTTTTTCTTTTTTTTAATTCGATAGCAGTGGTGTCAAAAGAGATTCCATGTCCCAACCCCAAGATGTGATGTTATTAGACTATGCCCTTAGGGTTAAAGGAAAGGACTTTTGATACATCTGCATCCTTACTTTTATAAATCCAAGCTTTTAACCATTAACACCAGAAAGATTTTAGAAAATAATTCAGAAATTCAAGCTTATTACAATCCAAACAAATGATTCCAGGTGAAAAAAAAAAATTATACAAAGGGTGGCTCTTAACAGTTTCTCAATCCACTTAAACTAGTTACAAATCCACTGCAAGAAAAGAAACGACATTTGCAATCTACTGCAATGAACGACCTTTACCAATCTTGCCCGCCGATGCAAGATGTTACACTGAGGACGGGCATTAATTTATGTTAAAACACAAAATCGCAATTGAAAACCCACAACCAGAACTAGAGTAGTATATAATTCATATGCAAAGCATGAGAATGAGCTCAAAGAGCTGCCAAAGTTCCCTCACTCCGACTCCTCCGAATAGAGAGATCAGGTCTGAAGCTCAGAAGTTTGCTGCCGATGTCATAAAACTGATGCCGATTGCTAGTTGTTGCTTTAGTCCCAAGAGGAGGCAGGCGCCCATGCTTGCCTTTGGACTGTTTTGCTGGATCCACGACTTGACTTCTACGACCATGGATTGATGAAGATAACATCGTCTTGTGAGCTGCAACACCATGGCTTGCCTTGCGCAAACTCTTGTGTTCTGATCGAAGGCCACGATCAGTCTGATGGGCAGACATACTTAATCGAGCTGATCGGTCTGCTGCATCTTTCAAAGTGCCGACTTTAATAGGCCGCCTGTTGAAATAAGCCAGATGGGGAAGAAGACCGAACAGATACTTCTTCAGTTGTTCATCTCCTACATTCTTCTGGGCTGGGTTTCCTTCCAGGCTGATGGCTTGTAACGAATTGTAATTAGCCGCAAGTTGGCCCAAACATTTGGCTGTCGAGATCTTGTTGAACCGCAGATCAAGGACATTCAGTTTTAGGAGCCGGTGAAGTCCTTCAACCTCACTAATTTTGTTTCCAGCCAAGTACAACTCTTTTAGAGAGGAACAAGAAGCTAGGCCTTCCAAATAAGTAATGGGAAGTACATCAGTGGCTGATCGAAAAGTAGACAGACCATAGATTGAGGCTGAAGGCTGACACATTATCATACTAATTTCAAAAGAAACAAGTATCTTCAATTATCATTCTTACAAAAATAAATTATGCATCTCCAATTACCCTCTTAACATATTAATAGATCACGGCTTTTTGATTAAGTTCAGAATTAGTTAAAGTTCCTAATAATTTCATTATCTAATATCCTGTCAAACTCCACTACATTTTTCCATAATTGACAACCCTGACAAAAAGGATGAAATGGATGAGGCAATTTTTGTTTTTCTTAGTTGATTGACTACCAGGGGGCATAAACAACTAATTATTTATTTTGGGGGGTGCAACAAGGGTCAAAAAAAAAACAGAACAATCATCAGAAACAAAAGGTTGGTATCCAGGAATGAAAAAGGGGAAGATGCAGGATGGCAGGACGACTTGTTTCAGAAGGCCACAACAAACTGAAAGCACCACCTAGCATTGAAGACCTCTTCCGTATAAGGTAGCAATCACACTATATTAACCACAACATTACAATAATAGCCTATCATCCAACAGTTGTATAACAAAAATTATAAACCTAAAAAAAGCATGGAGAAGAAAATAAAAAAACTGTAAAATTTGTACTTTTTTTTTTTTTTTCATAAGCACATAAAATTTGTACTTTAGCAAAACTCATACCATGTCCAATTCTGACTACCCGGTTGTAGCTCAGGTTGAGTATACGAAGTCGTGTAAGTTCACGCAAACCTTCAATGGTGGAGATATTGTTTTTTGACAGATTCAAAACATGGAGTCCTCGGGGAAGAGCACCAGCAGTTATCCTCACTACAAAAAGAGGGAGAGAGATCATCAGTAAAAAGGAAACATAAATAATTCAAATTCTCTTCCAGGAAAATACTATAATCAAGCCAGCAAAAAACCAGTGGTCATATATGCAAACCTATAGCATTTCCCGATAAATTAAGCTCCCTTAGGCTTACAAAAGCACTGAGAAATGGGATCACAACCAACCCATGATTTGCCAGCTGAGCAGCGGTGGCTGAGGCACTCAAAGAAGAGATATATTTCCTAACTGCTTCCATTCCTGGGATTATCTTACCATCTAACCTTGCAGCAGTCAGATGGTCCAAGACAGTGGCACCTCTCTGTACCTGATGATCGTTAGAAGTGGGTACTTCATCTGTCTCATCCAAAGGGCTGAAATGCTGAAGATCAATAACCCAATCCTCAATACGTTTGGTCTTGAAATCCTTGTTTGGCAATTCATTCCACTGGCGTGATGAAGATTCCCCCTGAAGGTTTTTCACCATGTTCTCTTCATCCATCACAGGTATTATCCAGTCCTTTGCTGAACCAACATAGTTACAAGAATCATAACCATCGTCAGCAGGGTTCTCACAATTATTTTTCTCATTATTTGATACGGAATAATCTTTTCCCTGGTCTTGTGTTACTTGTGCACCTATCTCATAAGCTGACATCTCTCTCCGCCTCGAGTCTAGAATCTGAAGATCCTCAGAAGATCTAGAGCGAGATGCCATGTACGTAGGAGGAGAAGAGCCGCCCAAAGAACCAATGTTGGGCAAAGAACTTGATTTTATGATAAGAGGGGGAGTACGAGGCATATGATATCTAGACTTATCGGCATTCTCACCAAAAAATTGGTTATCACAGTTTTCACTTCCTCCTTTTTCTGACTGTTGTGTCTCCCCGATTGAGAAGACGGACCCATTGTTCACCAACTCGGAACCTACTTGGAAAGAATCAGGGAGCAGAGCTTCTTGAAACTGATTGGGCAAGGTTATTTCCGGATCCTTGCCACAAAATGGCACCACCAACCCGCTGTGATCAGGGGAACCATCACAAGAAAATCTTTTATTTGCCTCATCATCTAAATCATTGCCAACAGAAACCCTCCCCTTTCTTTCCAGTCCACTTTCTAGAGAAAGGCTCTTTTTAATATGCCCATTCTGATGAACCCCTATGTTCCTCTCAGTGTCGTATTCGCCGTTGATTTCCTCTAATTTCCAGCCACGGTCAACGGAAGAGGAACTTGTAAGATCATTAGCACAAGTATTAAAGAGACCATCTTCTTGCTCCTTCAAATGTATTGGGTTTAGGTCTGAAGAAGAAAAGTCCTTCAGGTCCTGTTTTAAAGAACAATCTTGCAAGGTCTTCTGCATTGCTTCAACAGACAATTGAACTGTTTTCTGATCAATAGAGAGATACACAGAGTCAGTAAAAGCCATTTTCTACTACCCTAATAATCAAATGAAAAAATAACCTCAAAATGTTCTTTCACTCACTTTTGCTTTGTGGGAATTGATATGAGCATTGAAACATGAAAACCTAACCATTTAATTGAAATCAACCAAAGCTTCTTTCACAAGCCAACTACTCTTTTCGTAACATTAAAAGCTAACAATGATCAACAATCCTGCTCTGTTACTCAAGCCCAAAATATAGATCTGGTTTCTCTAAAATACAATCACATGCTACAATCAATCTTCCTGGAACTCAACCAAAATGGACCTTAGCCATAGTCAAGCGACAAACCCTCTGAAACTCGACACAACCTCCAGATGTGTGATGATCTTGATCTCCTCAAAACACAAAGTAAAATCACCCCCTCATTATTACCCCACACCCACTTAGAGGTGCGAGAAGAGTTCGATTTTGTTGCAGCGGCCAGAGTGAAAGAGAATCTTTAGCAACTATAAAAACCCAATCCTTAGCATGCTTCTGAGACGACGGCCTGAACATGGAAAAGGAAAAAAGAAAAAACAATGTTAGATGTAAAACAAATGCTTCAATCAGAATACAAAATCTGATCTACTTACTAAATTCGATTTCCATATTTGACACAATGGCGTGTTAGATTCAAGTTTCAAAAATGCATACTCAAAATTTTGGTTGATAAAAATGGTGAAAGTGTTCAAGAAAAACTGTTATTTGTTGTTTTTCTTTTTCTAAACAAGAGTTAAAAGATGGAAACATGCAAAAAGGCTTTAAAATTTTCTTCATACCATTTTTGAGAGAGTTTTATAAAAATATTTACTTGGAAATACAGTTACCCACATGTTTCCATTGGCACTTTTTGCTTTCAGAACTTTAAAAACAGTATACAATTCTCAACTATGTTACATGGAATCGGATAGTGTTTCAGGTGGTGCAGGTATGTATCCACGCGTCGGACGTGTCAAATTTTAAACAAAAGGAAACATGGACATTGCTAAATATTCAGATTATTTAATGTTTTTAATTTTATTTTCTCATGAAAATAATGTCTTTATGTAACAGAGTGTTCAATAGAGGCATTTCACTCATTTTGAAGCAATAATATAATAAAATTGAATTATTGGACATGTTTTTTTAGGGCACGTCCAACCAAAAGCATCGGAAACATATCTCATACCCATATCCAAACAATGTATGTCGGACATGAGTACTTCACCAACTTTTAAGGAGTCCATGTAATGTAACACAGGTTTTCACTCTTCTACTTCCAATTTCTATCTGAGCATTTTTCAACAATAACAAATCAATTCTCCAACTATTTCCAAGAATCAAAAGCAATATATGTTAAGCAATACACCAGGCACTACAACCCTGCATGCTATAAGACCCAAAAACTTTAAGTCCATAATTATAAAGTGTATAAGAAGATATTAACGAGGAACAACCATTAGTAACATACCAACTGTTAGTTATGAAATGTTTGGGAGCACCTTGGATTTGGAATTGGAAGAAATTTAGTTAAAACTTTCAACTATAATCTCCTGTAATCCCAAATCCAAAGTACCGATCCGGTACTGCCAAATGCAACCTCATTGTTATTCCTAGCGTGTATGCCTGAATTGTGTAAGTATTCAATTTCATAAGTTCTGGAATTCATATGTTTGTGCTATATATATGTATCCCAGCTGCCGAACATTCCAGGGTTTAAAAATCAAACACTTACCTTTTTAAAAAAAAAAACACACACACAAATCAAACAAGATATATACATAGAGATATATACAAATGCATATATATAGCACAAACATATGAATACCAGTTGCATAATCCTCAAAAAGAATATCAAATCATTGTTTTGGCACTGAGGTATGAATTTCCCAATTTGGATAGGTGAACCAAAATCAACCAAATTCCAGAAGAAATTAATATGGGGTAACAACGAAAATTTAATTACCAATAAGGGCTGTAGAACCCCAAAAAAAAAAAAAAAAAAAAGGAGATCTAACCTGTTTCTAGCCAGATTGCAATACAGCTTCTTCGCTTCTTAGAGATGGGCTTATTCCAATATGACTGCTATGCATGTATCTGAAAGTCACGGAATTAGAAGGAAACTATTTTCGTTTTCGTTTTTTATTGTGAATAAAAAGCGTGTGGAAAGCACAGCTTTGAACGCTAACCCTAAGGAGGGATTTAAAACGCTTGGCTGCAATTTTTTATAGGAAAAATCAACGGTGCTGATTTTTATATATTATTTTATTCGGATTTAGAATCTAATTGAGATTGAGAAACTAATTGGAGTAATTAAACTGGAATATATTCTAAATATTTTCTGATTCTGTTTATCTGTTATATAGTTAATAAAGAATGGACTGTATTTGTTGGCCAATAGCATATAAATGTAGAGAGAGAGAGAGAGAGAGAGGTGGTTTTTCTTGACCAAACGCGAGGCTCAAAAAGCAGTGTGAAAGCAGCGGATCTTTCGTGTGGCATAAATCGAATTATTGCAGATGGTAGCGTCTCTCTCCAGGCTCCAGCACTGCTGCTAAATTGACAGCTATTTTTCTTTTGAAGAGTATGACAAGCTATTCTTGACCGACCAATAATTATCGGTTTTTTTATGTAGTGTTAGAAATAAAAAATATATATATTTAAAAACTCTTATTCTGTGATTGGATAAAAATTCTAGATAGTACTCGTGGTGAGATGGAATAAAACTCTAATAGCTAGTGTTCAAAAGAGACTCTTTTAAATGGATAAAAATAAGATCTCTTCCTCTTAACACTAAAAAAAAATCTTATTAAAAATTATTTATTAGAGTCGGGTATTTATTCGAGTAAAAAAAACCTCTTTTGTTGTGATTATGGAAGGTTTGGACTTGTTGATTGAACGTATAAAGAAAGGCAAATGGTATTATTTTCTGAATGGAACCTTTTTTTTAAGAATTTATTTTTAGAAAATTGTTAATCTGTTCAGTTTGTTGTGTTATTCTCAATAAACTGAAATTTTTTTTATCATAAAACTGAGTCTAGCCAGTCCTAAATTTTATATAATAGTATTTTTTTACTTTATTTTTAGTTTTGATAATTCTTGAAATTTGTTCTTTTGAAAAGTTAACCAAAAACCATATATTTTTGCTATTTTTATTTATTATTTTGCATACAAATAATTTTCAATTTGTTTTGACCCACTCAGTAAAATTTTGATTGATGTTATGTGACTACTAAAAACCATGAAGGTGTAATTATACTTGTTTTAAGGACATATACATTCATTAACAAATAAGTGCATTTTTATTCAAATTCAATGCACATCGTGCATCACATAATGCATTGTCTAAGTATATTTATTTTGTACAAGAAAGAAAAAAAAAATTTATATTTGTTTCTATATTAAAAAAATTTTCTATAAAAAGTTATATTTGTTTCTAATCTTTTCCTTCAAGCCTAACATTCTCATTTTAAACACAATTTTCGTCTAGAGATTTTTTTTCCCTGTAGAAAAGTGATGGATTCTGTTGTTTTTGCACAAAGAATATCTTATTTACTCTTGAAAAAAAAATCATGTTTTAGAATTATAATTTCAAATCGCCAAATTAACTTGAATGAAGCTTTAAATTTGACGATATATAGGTTTTAATTTTAAGTTTGTAGTTAATTGGAGTCTGAGTTTATATAATTACAATGAAACAATTAGTGAGACTGCATGTGAGTACATTCCAGAAAGGTGGCTTGTGATATTCTTCCTTGTATGGAACTTTTCAAGAGTTGAGCCAATTAATTCATTTCATAAAAATAGCTAAAGAAAATTTCCACTTATCTCTCAATATGTTACATAAACTCTTTCTTAATTTCATAATTTCACTTGTCTTCCCTGAATTTGTGGTTTATGCTACAGATTTTTCTACCATTATTAGAGCACTAGATGGAAACAGAAAGAATTTGTTGATGCCAGCAGCATAAAATGAATAAATTATTAGTTTTAATGCCTGAAATGATAGTAAACATTTTATAGACAAAATAGTAAAATAACAGAGTTACGAAATTGGATGGCTTTCACATATACTATTTTTTGTCATTTTGATATACAGACTTACAAAATATTATCTTTGCTCTCCTTGTAATTATTAAAAAATTCACCATTGTTCCCTCACTTGAGTTTCTGAGTCCATCACTGGTCACATACACGTCAGTGTTCACAGACATAAAAAGTAAAATTATAAAACTAAGAAGAACACTATATAAAAGATAAGTGAAATTTATCTAAATAATGTAGGAATGGTCAAATTTGATTATCCTTGGAGAAGTTTTTTTTTGCAACGGCACTTCCAACCAAAATTTATTTGATAAGCTTGGGGTGGGAAAAAAATATTCCATGTGTTAAGAGAATAAATAAATTTTTAGAAAGCTATCGACTTTTTCATTTCTGCCCATTCAAATTATAAATTGTTTGTGCAATGCTTTGAACATACACTGCTGCTTTGGCACAGAATCGTGGATGTACTTTTTATTAATTATCGTTTATTCTCTCTCCACTAGTTTAGTATTTTAATGGTGATCACCCTCGTTGCTGTATTCCTCAAGGATTAGAAAATCATTCTAGGTTTCCTTCTAAACACAAATTATTAACCTCCTTTTTTTTTTTTTTTTTTTTTTTTTTTTTTTTGAGCATTTATGAATTGAAAGGTCAAAATTTTATGTGGAAACGTATTAAAATAGCGATTTTGTCTCTACAAAACTTTCTTTTACCAACTAGTAAAAAAATAAGAAAAATGGGGATTTAACTTATATCAAATCTCCTATTAGTTCAATAATAATGTGACACGTCATGGGTAAGGAAGTAGTTCTTTCTTTGTGCAGAGACCTACGCATTTTTCTTGTTAAAATAGATCACATGTTGTCATTCTTTTCTTTGATCAAGTTAATTTGATCATACTAAACAATAGAATATGATCTCATTTTGAAATATAGTTGGAACATTTTAGTATACGGTTATAGGATAAGTTGGTGCATGATTTGCTTTTGTTATAAAATATGATCGTGTGTGTTGGTAGAATCGTGTGTGTGGACAGATTTCAGTCCAGAAAGTATTCGAGTGATAATTTATTTTTATACATCAAGAGTTTCAAAGTTCTAAGGTTACGTTTGGTGTGCAGAAATGGAATGCAATGCAATGCAATGCAACTTGGAATAGAATGAGAGCATTTCCAATGGTAAAATGCTAAATTCGGATGCCAAATCTATTTTTTGACGGTGATACAGTGTCAAAATGTTACATTTTAGCAATTATGCTCCAATGATGCATTTTATGCAAAATGCCATTTTTTGACACAACCACTATTTTTTTTCAACTAGCATTCCCACCATTTATGCATCAGTAATATTAATATTAGGCACATTCCAAATTAAGTTGTAAACATTAGAAGGAAACTAAAATTAAACTTAATTAAAAAGAATCAAAAATCTAAAATATCTGGTCAAAAGAGAACCCAAATATATATATATGTGTGTGTGTGTATGTATAAATTTATATATTTGATTATATTATTATATAAATTTTTTTATATAATTATTTTTCTTTTTCGAAAATTTATATTATATTATATTATATTATATATTTAGGGCAAATCATTTCAGCCTCCCCAATCGCCTCCATCTCTATTCTCGTTCTCAACTCTGAAATTGCCCCCCCCCCCCTCTCTCTATCTCTCTGTGTGCAACTGCAAACTACAAAATCAACAAGAATCAGAAGTTCAAAACCCATATCTTTCAGTTTCCATCATCCGCTGTTCCAGTTCGGGTTCGCCGTTTGCAAGCTTCAGCCGCTGTCTCTCAACTTTCAAGCTTGCCTCCCCTCTCTCTGTGCAATTGCTAACTTGTACGTATGGGTTTTGTTTTAATTTTTTTTCTAAAGCAACTAATCAAGGTCTGTAATTCTTGTTTTGCAAACTAAATCATATTTGGTGAAATTTTTTATAATCTTTTTCAAATATATGTATATATATATATATATCTGAACCCACATCGGCATATCATTTTAGATTGTTCAAAAAATCAAAACCCATATCTTTCAGTTTCCATCCCCCCCTCCCCCCCCCCCTGTTTTTTCTGAAATAGCAGTAGCTATTTCTTGTGCTAGATTTGACACCAAAAGTGGCAAAGCCAAATTTTGATAGGTAATATAGCAGGTCATTGGAGACCACAATTTTAACCCACCTGCTATATTTTGAATTGGCAGCTCATATGGCAGGTGGGTTGGAGATGCTCTGAGAATGAGAATAGAATAGAATGAATATTACCATTCTAATGTTTGGTGTGAGTATAATTTTATCAAAAAACGGATTAAATATTTAACCTAAGAAGCTGATGTAAAGGCTAAAATATATATAGAGAGAGTGTGTGTGTGTGTACTGATTTCTAAATTACTCCGCACTTTCTATGGTGACCATTAAATTAAATCTAATGGTCAAATTCCAAATCCAACTATATGCTTTCCTTTTAATACAAAACCACTATCATTATTTCTAGTTTCTAAATTTAATATTTGCCAATGTAATTAATTATAACAATAAAAGATAAGTACTAAAAAAATAAAAATAATGATAGTATAATAATAGTTGTATTAAAGAAAATATTAAGAAAAACAACTAATTTTTAAAAGAAATCTGAAATTTAATAGAATAATAGCATGTTTTGTTGTGAATCTCCTCATTACGTCAATAAATTTTTATTATTATAGTAGAACTAAAAAAAATATATTGTGCGATTTATTATGACAGATGAGTAATTGGAATGTATTTATATCTAGTTAAAATTTATGACAGATGAGTAATTAGAATGTATTTACATCTAGTTAAAATTTATGACAGATGAGTAATTGGAATGTATTTATATCTAGTTAAAATTTGTGACAGAGAGTTAGAGAAAAATAGTTTGAATTTCTAATTTTTAAATAACATGCATTTAGGAAGGTATACAAAAATTTAAATTGTAATCTATTAATTTTTTTTTATGAGTGAAGTGTAGTGTAAATCATAGATTACATTAATTTTTTTTATTAATTTTTTTTTATGAAAGGGCATGTTTGGTTTTAGATTTAATTATATTCAGGTTTAGGTTATCTTTATTTTATACAATTTGAAGTTTATTTTATCCTTCTGCCAAACAAACCCTATTTTATACAAATTTGGACAAAATGGTAATTTTACATGGCCTGTATTTATAGTT